GATGTATGAGTCAGCAGTGAGGGGGAACTTCGGACATTGATTCTGGATCATTCATTCATTGTTATTATTATTATTATTGCAAGAGGAATAAGATTGGGGGAAGTTGGAAGGAGAAGGAAGGTGGAGAGAGAAGGGGGAGTTGTCATTTGTCTTGCTGGTGTACTTCTTCTTCTTCTTCTTCTTCTTCTTCTTCTTTCTCTCTCCTCTGGTCCATATCTCCTTGCAAGTGCTTTCATTTCTTTCGCAATTTGGTGGCATTGTCTTTCATTGTGAATTGCACTTGGGAAATGACCAGGATCGTAACAATCTGTACAAATTGCAGATACAAGATCTGATTGACCTTAACAACGCAGTAAAAACGATTAACCAGCCAAAAGGACGGAAGACGATTCGTGGAATGCTTACTACAGTGCTCAAGAACAAGTTTCGTATTAACCCTCGTGCCAAAATTACTGTTAAAGTCCCGTTTTGCACTACGATTGACAAAAGAAAGGTGGAGATGGAGGTTAAGAAATGGTTGTTGGACAATATCCTACCAAGTGGGCTGGGTGACTTGTATGCTAGGAGAACCAGGGCGGTCTGGTTAAAAGCTAGATCGGTTGCGGACCTCCTACATAATCAGAAATCATTTGCACGACAGACTAACTTTGAGTGTGTGTGTGATGATTTCGAACTGCCCAAAATTGATGGGCATGTTGCAGTCAAGCTCAGCAATGTGGATGGGTTACACCCGTTTCTCTTTAACTCTAAAAATGTCCCCTTTCCCGGATCTATAGCAACCAGAGATGGACTCAATGTAGCTTGCAATGAAGCTCTCCAATGCCTTCGCGATATGCGCGTGACGTCTTCTATGATGCAATGTGATTTCCGTCGGGTTTCCAAACCTGGTGAACCAAAGAAGGAAGGATGTGTCCTGACTGAGTATGTCAAAGGGGTAAAACAAGCCTTTAATGGGCTTGTCCTTTCTCCCCTGGATCGAAACACTAGTGAAACGTGGGTTGAATGCCCGCTTCGGTATAGGGCTGGACTAAATCTGTTGTTTCTGGAAAACAGCAACTATGAGCTGATACCAGGAAATAAGGAGGTTGTCTTAGCTAATATGAAGAACCAGTATAGGAAGGCTGATCTGAGCGGGCTGGGGAAATGGGATGGAAAGGGTGATTTGCAGCATGCCTACATCCTCTCAAAAGAGAAGGACAAGGATAAGAAGAGACCGATTGTCCCCTCCTATCTAAGCCCATACAGATCCGCCTTCGGAGTTTTGTCTACCGCCCTAAATGCTCTTATTCAGCACACGACTGAGGAGCATTTTAATCTAGGGCCTTGACGGATTTAAAGAGGGAAGTCACTGCGATTAATGAACGAGCTGAAATCAGAACCGGAAGCCACGGGATCCTTGCCCGCACATATGACATCAAAGAAATGTACACACATCTTCCACATGTGAAAATCAAGAAAGCCGTAACTTGGATTATCGAAAGTTTCGCGGCCAAGTCTGTCAAATGGATCCGGATTAACACCAGGAAAAAGACAGCACATTTCCGGAAAGCTAACAGTGAAACAGGGCGGAAGTCAGTTCGCTTAACAAGTCTGGTTAGACTGACAGAATTCCTGTTGGCTAACACAGTTTCTTGGTTTCAGACCAAGTGCTTCGTCAGCGTAGAGGTATTCCCATGGGGGGAAGAGCGAGCCCTCCGCTCGCCTGCATACTTTGCATGTTTGCTGAAAATCAGTTTATACAGAGCTTGGGCGTGGACAGAAAATTGGTTATGGGTAAGCGATATATCGATGACTTGCTTATCATTTCACTGTTTCGAACGGGGGATCCGGTGGCTAAGGAACAAGCTCGCAAGAGGCTCGATCATGTGACACAGTGCTACCCGGAAGGCCTGGTTCTGGAAAGAACAGACCCCGGGTTCGGGGTACTGGACTTTTTGGAAACTAGGATGATCATCTGCCAAGAAAAAACGATCCTCATGTCTCACAAATTCAAGAACGCGGAATCGATTTGGAGCTCCGAACCTTTGCGTTTTCAGACCTATATAGATTTTTCGTCTTATGGACCAAGTACGACGAGCTTCGCCACGGTTGCAAATACTTTACTACGTATTTTACAGAATTCGAATGACTTGGGCATCACATGCTACAACGTTCTCACCTTAGGTGAGGAACTGAGAAAGTGCCGCTACCTAGGTGTTGCATACTAGATCATGCAAAACAGAGCAAGGACCGACCTTTCATTTCAAAGTACAAGATGGCGAGCGGAAGACTTATCAATGATCCGACTAAATCAATGTTGCAGTACGGTCCCGACATTTATCATCATCATACAGTGGTGTGAAGGGCTGACGCTCACACAGAATAGATAGCGCCAGACCCCAACATACACAGACGAAGGGGGAAGGGAAGAGACAGAGGGAGAGGAGAAGATGAAGGATATCGTCAACTCCAAGTCTGCGTCATAGGTCCCAAATAATCCTCAACGAATGTCTGTATCCCGGAATCAAGTCTGATGACAATGTCGTCATGTCCCATGTCAAAGCTCCATCTCGTAGCCCATAAATGCTGAGAGGCAGGCAGCGGGAGGGGAAGAAGAGATGGTGGACTTAGAAGAGGAAGAAGAAGGTCTCTCTCTCTCTCTCTCTCAGTCCAATACTAACTTGTAAAATTGGCGTCTTGATGCAGGTACACCGAGGATGGAGCTGGAGCGATGGTGCCACAGGTAAGTAGCACTGGCCTCCGCCAGTGTCTCTCTCCGATACTGCTACCCTGCCCTATAGCGCCCATCGCTGAAGACGACCACTATGGCTATGGCGCCCAACGCCGAAGACTACTCCTAACGCTATCACTACTGCCTAGCGCTGAAGACTACTGCAGCGCTCCTCCTGAGTGTTGCGGCCGAAATCCTGAAAACTACAAGTGCCTACTGACTACTTCCTCCTGCAGGGCGGGTCAGTCCTTTATAGTGCTGGCCCGTGCAGGAGGCTGGCCATACCAATGCCTCCCTGGCCTAGACCCTGCGGAAGCTTCCAGGCAAGAGCCTGGAAGTTCCCTGAAGTTTCCCTGTAGGGAAACAGGCTGAGGCCTGTAGGCCCTGTCAGAAGGAAGCTTCCAGGCAAGAGCCTGAGCCTGGAAGTTTCCCTGTAGGGAAACAGGCTGGGGCCTGTAGGCCCTGTCAGAAGGAAGCTTCCAGGCAAGAGCCTGGAAGTTTCCCTGTAGGGAAAGAGGGTGGGGCCTGTAGGCCCTGTCAGAAGGAAGCTTCCAGGCAAGAGCCTAGAAGTTTCCCTGTAGGGAGACAGGCTGGAGGTCCGGGACGGGCCCTGCAAGGCCCGTGTGGCTGCACAGTATGCCACACCCCCCTTCTCCTTGAAAGACCGAGCTTACCTACGAGGGTGAAGCTGTCAGTCTGAGGGAGGGACCACAGTCCGGGTGGGAGGGGCAGGTCGTGGAGGTCCCTTGGCTAACCTCTGTCGCTCGTAGTGAGCATAGATCAGCGGTGCAAACGCTTTCAAATCTGCTCCTGAAATCCACCGAGTGTCGTCGGGATCGCATGCTCTGAATGTAACTTTGTACTGGCGCGGCTTGCTGCCATACTTGCGATCTGAGATGACGCGGTCAACCTCCTNTGTACTGGCGCGGCTTGCTGCCATACTTGCGATCTGAGATGACGCGGTCAACCTCCTGATGACCATCCATAGAAGGAGGGTCCTGCGATCGTCGGTCCGGAAAGTCGTCGCTCTTGGCTGGCGTGTAAGTTGCCAGCTTCGAGGCGTGGAAGACTGGATGGATCGTCAGATGCTCTGGAATGTTGATCACAAATGAAGGGCCATCGGGCTCATCGCCCGCGGCTGCTGTCATAGACCAAGGTCCAAACCACTTGGGAAGCAGTTTGCGTGAAACATCCTATTCCAGAGCAAACTCTTCCGTGGAGACCCAAACCAGATCACCGTCGCGGATGGGACATGGTACGCGACGCCTGTTGGCTTGCTGCTGAATGCGGACATGAGCCTTTTGCATATTTGCGCGGGCTTGAGTCAGCAATTCCCTGTACTTCCGAACGGAAGAGGGAGAGCAGGCAGCGTCAATGTCGGCTGGTCGAGGGAGGAGAAGGTCGGCGAAGATCCGGCCTTTCCGTCCACCGTGGTGCAACTCGAATGGAGTCACGCCGATCGCCGGATGCACCGAAGTGTTGTAGGCGAACTSGATGTCGGGGAGGCGGTCAACCCAATCTTTCTGGTCCGGACGGATGAGCGTACGAACCATCATTTGAGCGGTCTGATGTGCCCGCTCCGTCTGCCCGTCTGTCTGAGGGTGTCGAGCCGAACTTGGTTTCATTGTTGTGCCGGACTCCTGCATGAGAGCAGTCCAAAACGCCGACATGAAACGAGTGTCGCGGTCGCTGACAATGTCTTCTGGTACACCGTGGCCACAAATCCAACCAGTGTGCAGGAGGCGTGCCAGCTCGGGAGCCGTGGAGTAGTACTTGCAAGGAAGAAAACGTGCGTACTTGCTCAATCGGTCCACAACCGTGAGGATGCCGTCGTGCCCGAGCTGGTCTCGAGGAAACGGACCCGTGACATCCATAGCAATGGCGATACCGGGTTCCCGGGGGATAGGCATCGGGCGTAACTCGCCATAGGGATTGCGGTTGCGGGGTTTGCTGCGGCGGCAAACTTCGCAAGAATCGCAATACCGCATGACATCGGAAATGAGGTCGGGCCATTGGAATCGTTGTCGAAGCCRTGCAATCGTGCGATTGACTCCGAAATGGCCGGCGAGTCGCGAATCATGATACTCGCCGAGAAGGCGAGTCCGAAGACGGCGGTTGCGTGGGACACATAGTAAGTCCTTGCCTCTCGAGTGGAGGAGCAAGTACCCGTCGGCAATGCGATAGTGGCTGGCCGGCGGGTGATCCGAAGATAGCTGCGCATACAACGTAGCAAACTCTGGGTCAGACTGATAGCCCCTGATGAAGTGTCGCTGGAGGTCCTCGTCGAACGCGAAGGCGTGATGCGTCATAGCGCAAAGATCAGGTCGTCGCGAAAGTGCATCTGCTGCGCGATTGGAGAGGCCGTCAACGTGTTTCGGTGTGAAGTCAAACTGGTCGATGAAGTACATCTACCGTCCAATCGTGCTGCTCACCGTGTCCTGCGTCTTGTAGTAGGTCAATGGGTTATTGTCCGTGACCCATGTGAACCTACGACGCCCAAGAAGGAAGTGCCGCCATCGCTTGAGAGCCATGACGAACACAATCAGCTCCTTCTTCCTTGCATCATTCAGAGAATTGATGGGAGGCACTTTGTGGCTGAAATACTCCACAGGGTGCCAATCCTCGCCATCGTGCTGCTCCAAGACTGCCCCAATGCCGTAACCGGAAGCGTCAGTCGTCATTCTCGTAGGCAGAGTGGGGTCGTAGATGCTAAGGACTGGTGTCATGAGCATGGCCGTCTTGAGTGCTTGGAAAGCCTGGCGCGCGTCGTCATCGAATACGAATGGCATCTTTGGCGATTGTAGTCTCGTCAGAGGTGCGGCAATCCTTGAGTATCCGGTGATGAAACGCTGATAATAGCTTGCCAACCCCATGAATGAACGAACGTCTGTGGTGTTGGTGGGCTCGGGCCATACGCGGATGGCCTCGATCTTGTCCGCAAGTGGACGGATGCCTTGCGGCGTCACATAGTGTCCGAAGTACTCCAGCTCTTGTCGCACGAATTCGCATTTGTCGCGGTTGGCTTTGCACTTGGCCTGTCGTAGCCGTTCCAGAACGGTGCGCAGGTGCTCCACATGCTCGTCCAAACTCCGACTGTACACCAAGATGTCGTCGAGGTAGATGAGTACGAAACGATCCAGCATGTGTCGAAACTCCAAYGTCATRGCCGCCTGGAATGTGGYTGGGGCATTCGTAAGGCCAAACGGCATGACCAGCCATTCGAAATGCCCATATCGCGTTTTAAATGCGGTCTTGTATCGGTCCTCCGGGCGAATCTCAAGTTGGTGATAACCCGAYTTGAGGTCCAACTTGGAGAAGAACTTGGCGCCGCCCAGTCGCTCYAGGAGATCGTCGATGCGTGGGAGAGGGCCGGCGTTCTTGACCGTCTGCGCGTTGAGCTTACGATAGTCGATGCACAACCGCAAATCCTTGTTCTTCTTCCGGACGAAGAGAACAGGTGCACCNCGTTCTTGACCGTCTGCGCGTTGAGCTTACGATAGTCGATGCACAACCGCAAATCCTTGTTCTTCTTCCGGACGAAGAGAACAGGTGCACCGTATGGCGAAGAGCTAGGCCGAATCCAGCCTTTCTCCAGAAGGTCGTCGAGTTGTGCCCGTAGCACACTTAACTCTTCCTCGCTCATTCGGTAGATGCAACCACGCGGAGGTACAGCCCCGTCCTCGAGGATGATCTCGTGGCGGATGGGCCGATCCGGTACTACTCCGTGCGGGGCCTCGAACACGTCACTATAAGTGGCGAGAAGCTCAGTGATGCGTGGGTCTGATGATGCGTCCGTCAATGGGGTGTCCTGGGGCGGGAGGGCGTGGAGAAAACACACCCCCATCTCCTCAATGTCATCCTTGATGATGGAACCTCGAATACTTGCGGTGGACACCACGTGACAGCTGATCGAAGGGTGAGGAGGAGGCACCGTGCATGGGACTAGTACTCCATCCCGGTCACGAACGTGAATGGTGCGGCGGTAGAAGTTCACTGGGTGGTCCTCACTTCGCAGCCATGACATGCCCAAAATCATGTCGAACTTAGTGTCCAGAATGTCGAAGGACACGGCCTCGCGTGCATGCGGGGCGAAATACACAGGGACGTTGTCAATGCACCGGTCAATTGACTTGTGCGTGTGACCATCGRCCAACGTCACGTGTGTCRGATGGGRCTTCCTCCTKACGCGYGGGCSAAGGCCGGCGCGTACCATGAAGTCCTGACTCATGTAGTTGCGAGTTGCACCGCAATCGATCAAGGCGCTGCAGGTCGCCTCTCCGATCTGAATGCATACATACAACAATGGTGCGTCAATGTCATCGTACCGTTGTGTCTTGAACTCGCGGTCGATCTTCCCGATGTACTCTTGAAGGTCGACAACCTCAACTCCGGCATCCATCAACGGAGTTGGTACTGCAGTGTGCAAATACTCCCGCAATTGTGCCATGAGCACATTGTAATGCAGTTTCGACAATCGACCGGTCGGGGGAACGGGCATCCACTGGAAGTCCGCGACTGTCAACGGGTCGAGCTCTTCAAGTCTTGACCACATCGACGAATCCCCTGAGGTAAATGATGGCGGAACTGCCGAATTGGTTGCCGATGAAGATGAAACCGTGCATGCGGTAGAGTGTTGCACGTGGAGTGGTTGGTCCAGCGGTGGGACCAAGTGGACAACATAGTCCTCGTAAGTGACACGAGAACTTGCGACATTTGCATCCTCCCCAGATGTGTAGGAGGCCGCTAGCAAGGCGGCCGGATCTGGCGGAGTGGGAGGTGGAGTCGCCTCACCTCCCGCGCTACTCAGTTTCCCGAGTTGTTGCGAGGCCGAACATCCTCCTTTTCCTTGTCCTGGCAGAGGGAGGTCTTGTGCTTGATGCTATTGCACCAGTAGCAGCAGCCGTACCGACCACGGTTTTTGTATTCGGCCTCGGTCAAGTTAAACTTGACCCATGGCGCTGGCTGTCCTGTTCCAGTCGATGATGCGGTCTTCGCCTTCCCATTGTTCCGGGACTTGTTGGTGCTTCTCGGCTGGACAGCAGCCACCTGATCTCCTTCACTTGATGCCTTGGTGGCTGCCGGGTCATCTCCACTGTCCGACTGGACTGCAGCGAAATGCTGCTGCCGCGGACCAGTCTTTACCTTCTCCACATAGGTTGGCTGCCATGCTGATTTCTCGTGTGCAGCCGCCCTATTAGTCTTGATGATCTCCCTCGCTTTGTCGATGATCTCAGCGAAGGTTGAGTACTGCTCGCGATCACCAAGTGCCTGGCTCAGTGCAGCACATGACCTATTGTAGAACTCTCGGCGCAGATGCGTAAATGGCAAGTCCAGATCCGGCGTTGCCGCAATCTTTTGTCATTCCGTGAGCCAGTCTCGTGTTGCCGTGTTGCCTAGGGTCATGGTGAAGAGGCGGTTGATGGCGAGGGCAGGCGCGTCGTCGACGATGAACCTCTTCTTCCATAACCGTGTCAACTCCTCCCATGTGATCTTGTTTCAAAGATCTACCACGTCGACGCCGTGAGTGGCTGCCAGATGGGTCAACCAAGTCTGGCATGCGCCCTTTGAGTTAAGGAAAAGGGCACCGATGTATGCGTGCTTGGCGACTGGCAGGATCCGAAGCTGCGTCGTGAATGCTTCCCACCAGAGGACCGGATCCTGATGCGTGTAGTCGTCGAACTTCTCGAGTTGGAAGGTTGGCATCTTGTACAACTTAGGATTGCCCTCCGAGTTCGTCGACTGCAGCTGCTGGACCTCGGTCTTCAAGGTGTGCAGCTGACTGCTGATGGTGGTAGGTGCAGCGAAAACACTGATGTCGCCAAGCATCGCCACTACGTGGTCAACGCGTTCCTCCAGTTGGCGGCTAGAGGGTTCACTGCTGGACGTACCAGCATCTGGTCCTGGTACAAACTGTTCCAGGTCCAGTACACGGGCATTGAGTACCTGTGTTGCATCCTCGTGGCCCTGCACTATTCGGCGGAGGTCTGCCAACTCTTGGTGCTGTTTCTCTGGTTCGACCCGTTGGTAGTTCCAAGTATACAACACGCGTGACACGAGCTTGGAGAGAAACTCCTTGTGTTGCTCTTCCGGTGTCGGCTCGTCGCCGTTTGGTTCAAAGTGCCAGTACTTGAGCCTTTTGATGCTGGCTGCTTCATGGCGCTGCAGCAACTTCTGGGCTTCCTTTCGGCGTGCCCTGGTGTGTGCCTCGGCTTCGGCCTGAAACCGCTGCCTTTCAGCTGCTGCTGCCGCCTCAGCCTGTAGGCGGGCAGCCTCGGCTGCCGCCTGGCGCTGTTCCTCGGCCTCAATGAGCGCGAGCTGAGCATGGACCCGCTGTCGGTACTCGGTGATGGACTCGTTGGCCAGTTGGCCTGGTAAGCCCAMCGCTGGTCCCGTCATGGTTGCTGACCTGGCACTGCTGACGTGCACTGCTGACGTGGCACTGCTGACGTGGCACTGCTGACGTGGCACTGCTGACGTGGCACTGCTGACGTGGCACTGTAAACAACCCGGAATGCAGACAAGGGGGTGGGTGGGAGGGAAAACGCA